TTGAGATTTTAAAATATTTTTAGTTACGTGACGAGTATTTAAATTTTGTAGAAAAATTTAAGAAACCCAGAATCTGTTAAGAGATGCTGCGACGTCTCGAAACACCGATATAGGTAAGGATTCCTCACCCTATTATCGACTATGGTAAATTAAGGATAAATAATCGATAATTGTGTATTTTGTAAAAAAATAGAAAAATCCTAAAAATATTACATGTCACTAGTGAAGCTGAAATTGGTTAGTTCACAATTATCTTGATTCCCTGTTTATTTTTCTGTACTGCCTATATTTGCTTACTATTATACTGTGCATAATTGAATTGATGATTTTTATCAAGTATTCTGGTTATTGGTCATTTGACTATGTTAAACTATATCGTTTGTTTAACTTCCATTTGAATTAATCTGTGAATATGAAATGAGATGTTAGTATGCTTTAATGGTTGCTTGGATGATACGAGTCTAAATAAATGAAAGCATACTAGGCATCCTGGGAAAGGGTGGACAGACCTGGTATATAGGGAACCTTACTATGGACATTATTTTAGTCGAACGGGACTAAGAAGTCCCATAGCGAAAAGATTTTAGGAGATACAGTTTACCTTTATACTGGAAGAGATATCGAGGTGATGATATTTTTGGCGCCCATTACAGGACGGGGTATGGAAACGGCCGGGTTAATTGTCAATCTTGATGTTGGGTTCACGAGTAGAGGGATATCCCAATGGACCCCTAGAGGTCCTAGTAAGTAGGTTAAAAAAGAATGATTGCTAATCCTATGTATGAAATTAAAATGTCATTTGGTTAATTATCTTCATATGTTGATTTTGGGCAAAACCATCACGGTAAATATCAAATAAAAATTTTTAAAATTAAATGTACTTATTTAAAGCAACAACTCCATTAGTTTTTTTTTTTAATTTTTACCAACCTTCAGTTTTTCGTATTAGTAATTAGTGTGATATTCTTACTGGGCTAATATAGCTCACCATTTCATTAACCATTTCAGATTAAAAAAATTAAGATCTAGATCCCAATCAGCAAGAGGTTTTGTGAGTAGTCCCACCTCCCGGATTTCCTTCAAGTGCTAGTGATGGCGGCCCTAGGGTACTTATTTATTCGTTTTCTTTTAATTACCGTTTATGAACCACGTAGAAGGGATATTTTCGTAGTTCTATTGGGCAATTTAATTTATTGTATAAGGAATGTAAACCATAACTTTTATTATTCATTTTCGCATTTAAATTATAAATTCATTTCCTTTAAAGGTTCCGGACCTCTACTGTTGATATCAAAGTTGCGTTCCTCGAAACTATTCCTTACATAGAGATTTATAAATACAAAATACAAACTATCGTTGAACTCTTCTTTGTGAAATATAGGTACAAAGATATGAAGAGATGAAGGTCCTCACTAAACTGAATAGACCGGGATGGTTCGTTTCGAGATGATGTTGATCGACTCTTTGAGATATTAGAGAGACTCATCTCTACCCAGCAGGCCCAGGAGGAAAGGAGGGAGTTGTCTGACCCTCCCCCATTGCCACAGTTTGAGCCACCCTTACAACGAGAAGATCCGGAGCCACTCCGGTACAACCTTGTTCCTCCACCGTATCATCCGGCACCTACAGTATAATCTGGTGCCTTCACCTCATTATTCAACATCGCCATAATACAATCTAGCACCTCTACCGTATTATCCGGCATCGCCACAGGGCCATCCGGTCCCTCTCTAGCACAATCCAGTCTTTTTTTCACAAGACCCAATTTCACCCATGATGGACTCATACTACATTAAAAGGTATAAAAAACTAAACTCGTCTACCTTTGCAAGGACATTCTCTTTCGAAGAAATCGAATATTGGTTAGCTGAGACAGAGAAGACCTT